GCCCTGAAGCCCTGTCCTGGGCTAGTTTTTTCCAATTTGTGATGTCAATGCCCCACACACTTCTTAATGTTTGCCTTGAGAGTGTCCTTGAAGTGTTGCCTGCGGCCCCTGCATGTCCTTAGTCCTTGGCTGAGTTAGGAGTATAGCAGTTGTTTCGGTAAACATATATCAGGCCTGGATCATGATGTACACATAAGAGGTCTAGTCAGATGCCTGATGAATCCACTTGTGGCTGGCAAGCTGAACATGAGAGCGACACAACTTGTGACAAGTTTCACAGATCCATGTGTTTTGTGAGTTGGAGTTCAAATTTAGAGTATGCTGCTTTCTTCTTTCTCACTTTGCTTCCCTCCTCTGGATCAAAGCTGCTTCACTGTGCTGCACCTAGTGCCAGATGCTCCCTCCAGATCTGACAGGATTCTGCGCACTCCTCCCAGCTTTCTACCTCACTGTGATCTATTTCGTATCTTTTTGCGCGAGTAGAAATGAAGTCTGATCAGCTGCCACTATTCCGAGGCCCAGGGTCAGAGTAGGGCTGAAGGGATCATCTAGTCCAGGCCGCTGCTCAAGGCAGGCTCATCCCTGCCTAACATCCCCACCAACCTAAGTGTCTGCCACCTGCCTTTGAAAGCTTCCAGGGCTAGAGATCTCACAGCTTCTCCAGGGAGCTTGCTCCCATGCCTGACCCCCTCAGTCACAAAGGTCCTTGTGACCTCCAGCCTCAACTTCCCCTTGCTGCAGGGGGTGTTGTGACTCCTAGTCCTGCCTCTATGGCTGTAGCTTCTCTGCACCCTCCTGTAGGAGTTTGAGGTAGGGGAACCCTGGGGCTTTCCTAGGTGCTTTAAGGTGGGGCTATGGGCTTGTCTATCTCTGAGGACTGGGGAAGAGACACTCATGGTGTGTGTGCATGTATTCACTTTCTAATGGTTAAGCCAACTTCACTTTCTTAAGTCGACTTAAATGTCACAGCATACACCATAGGTGGAGCACAGTTGACTTAAATGCTGTGCAAGACAATACACCTCCCGGACCTCTTATCTCCAGTTCATTGAAGTCAACTCAGCTCCCAAATTGGCTGTCACTGTTACGAAGCTGCATGTATGTACTCTCTAATGTCGCTTATTTTAAGTCGACTTAGTAAGCATGTACACAGCGCCGCAGCCCAACGGAGCTGGATTGCGCCGCGTCGCTGTTGGCCTGGAGTCCGCCTGCCCCGCACCAGCAGTGCCTTTAAGACACGAAGCGACAGCGGAAAGCGCCTACGTCACCGCTACGGCTACGCCCCGCCCCTCTCCTCTCCCCTGGTGCAGCGGCGGTTGTTGCCCCTCCCCCTCAGACCCCGCCCTGGCACGCGGCGCGTGACGTCCTCCCTTAGCCGACCATGATGCCCCGCCCCCGGGCCGCGCGCGCGGAAGCGAGGCTGACGTGCGGCGGCGGCGCAGGGCGTTGTGGGAACGGGAGAGGGCGGGGCGGGCCGGCGGGGCGGGGCTG